CACGGGAGTAGCTGCTTTACAGAAATGGGAGTCCCCTGGGGCTGCCTTTCAGCCAGACAACCAGCACACTTAGCATTGTGTTTATTTATCTGGCTACTTAGCACTCCTCACTGTTTCTCTTATATAAATTAATTTGCTCTGTAAAGCAGCCCTTGTAATAATCAATGAGTCATTGCATTAAAAACATGCAGAAAAGATTAACTGAATGGGAAGCACGTGAGAAGTATTTTTGACTTTGTATTTCTAGCAGCCCAGGTATTTAGTGCTTGCTTTATGCTGAGGTCTCATAAGTTACAGGGAAGGTTTTTACTTTGAACCACAGGGAGTTCAGATGGCTTAGAGTGTAGTGATATTTCCGAGACATAGCAAATCCAGTTCACTTATCATCAGTATCCACAGGAAATAATAATCTGTTTATACATCACATTTCTCTCAGCTCCACAAGATTCTTGTTATGAATTCTTTCCAGCTGCTTTTCTCATTCCCACGGAAGAATTGCATGTGAAGGGTTGCTGCTTACCCATCAGTTATTCTAACAATTATTGACTGATAACCACCAGTAATTCCAACTCTGTGACAGTCTTTGATAAGGGTTTGGCGTAGTTATTAGGCTCTAAAATATCGCCTCATCCGTAAAGGTCTTGAACTTTAGGTTGGGTCGCTGACACAGCCACCTTTTCCGGATCCTTGAATGGAAAGATGATGATAATATGGAGCCCTGAGCTTTTACATTTATAGAAATGCAATGTAAAATGGGAAGCCGTTTCAAACCTGCTTTCTATCACGTGGGAGTGATTTCATCCTGTTGCCTTGTTGTACCTGTTGGACCTCCAGTTATAGAGACCAGGAATAAAGGAAGAAACATCAGACCCCTCGCGGTGTCTCTTATTTTGTCTAATGATTTCTGGAGAAGGTAAGTTAAGTTAAGCCATAAATCTAAGCAATTAGAAGAAGGTAAAAGGAGGCTGTCGGCCAGCTCATTTCCTTCACGTTCTCTGCACTGCTGATTTTGGACTCCACTGGCTTCCAGTCCCCTCACCCCCTGCTCACTGCTCACCTCTCTGCGTTTCCTTTTATCTGCCGTAGATTTATGTTTTCTTTAAGATCAGCCTGTACYGGTCAGACTCGCCCCACGTAGCAAGGAGATGAGCTGCTCCCGTGCTAACTTAGCGAGGACCAAATTAAAGTTGTTGAGATTTCCTGTTCTGGGATGTTTCCAACCGGGAGCTGGAAGTCTCCAGCAGCTGCCCCCATCCCTTGCCTTCCTGATCGTGAAGCTCTTACTCTTGTACACTTTAAGGGAGGAGCGAAGCTCTCTGAAGAACAGCTATTCCCTTGCTTTGAAAGTAATACAGGTAACAAGGGGAAAATAAGCAAAGAGAAGAAATGAATTTGCTATTCAGTTTCAGGCAGCAAGAATTTCACCCAATTTACCACTTTACAGTTCTTTGGACATATTAATTGTTTAAAGTGTGACACTATAGAGAATGAATTCTTTGCACTGTAGGTGGCCAGCAGGATTCTGAATAAATGCATGATACTGCCTCTGCTTTTGGGTGTCAGCTAATACCTTGCATTACAGGTGGTGGAGATGCATTAAAGATCTTTKTAAAACGGTGTGTCCACATAAACAGCTGTAATTGCCATAGAGACATTGTACTGTAGGGCAGGGAAGTGGTGTAAGTGTATGCTAAAACAAATTTTGATCTGAAAGAGATTAAACCTGAGCCCTAAATGCATATCTTATCCCCTAACTATGGGTTTTTTGGGGAAAAAAAACGAACTATATGCTATTAGGGCTGCATTGAATCTATTCTGTGAATCAAATGCTGAATATTTTCCTTGCCCCTGTGTAATTTGACTGAAGTGAAATTACAGGAGGCCTTTGCTGTGATGTTTTGGTCCAGTCTTTTCAGAGGATCAATGTGAGTTACCCAGTTGGCTTTTACTCTTGTTTCTCCTTCATCAGGCTTTGTAAATCAATGAGACTGATGGATTATAGTACCATGGAAATCAGGCCCTACATTTTGTTGCCTRCAAAACACGGAAGGGGTTGGATTGTGGATATTTTGCCCTCAAACCACACTATATTCTTTGAAGACACCAGGAAAAAAAAATCATATAAAATTGGCTCTTTATGCAAAGGCACTTTAAAATCAGAGACTTGCTTCCAGCTAAGAAAACATTTGCTACAGAACTAAACATGTTCTATATAATGTTGTTATCGGGTAAACTTTGTTAATGGTACATTGCTGATAATTTAAGAACTCGTGGGATTTTCAATAGCAAAGGTCTGCAGCGAGTGAGAGCTTCAGTGGACCTTGRGCAGGAGCAGTCCCACGGTTCATAGCAGGTTTTGGGAGCCCCAGMCCACTGCTCGAGGATGTTAAAGAAGCAGCAGTGACCAGATGAGGATATTTTGGGCCATAAATGCATGGCTGTACATTGCAACTGTTAGGGGAAGTGATCACCAGAGGTTTCAGAGATGATTGAGAAAGACGCAGGCAAAAAGAGAATGGCCAAAGCTGATGGACAAACTGGTTTTGTGTGATGAGATGCAGAATATCAGATTGTGATGAGATGCAGAATATCAGATTGTAGAGCAAAAACTGATGCAGAGTTGCTGCATCCAAAACCCGCCGGCCCGGGATGATTTCAGAAGTAATTGCCAAGTTGAACCTGGGAATAGCCCCCAGCAAGAGAACAGCAAAGCCGCCCTCGAGAGGCACCAGAGGAATTTGACAACGAGCTCTAGGAAGGAAATTTGGTGACACAAAGGGTGGAGGATGCTTGGACACCTGTTGTGGCAGCTGTGACTAAGCATGCAATGACCAGATCAGAGTGAATAATGAGAGAATCTGCTCATTTAAGAGTGTATATACAAACTCAGCAGGGACRTGGAACTGTTTTGCTTTGTTTTACTGATAATGTGTTATTGGAGTCATGTCTCTGACTGTGTCCTAGAGTGGGTTCAAAGCAATTACTTATATAACACAGGATATGTTTAAGTCAGGGAGGAATGGGGAGAAATGCATGTATCTCAATTTCTGGTTAAGAAGCAAAATGAAATTATGGTTTTTTTTTTTTTTCTGAATAGATTTATTGATTTCCATTTATATAACACAGGGATATCCATCTCAAGGTCTGGATGCTCCTTGCAAAATTTGAACTGTAGAGTAATCGGTGAGTTGGATTGCGCCACATAARCACCCTGCCAGCTGCTGGTTCATATCCAAACCTGAACCCTGTTACTCTCAAAAACAAACTCACTGAAAATAAGTCAGTCCCATCTCCAACTGTACGKGCCCATCTCTGAATGGCTCCAACTCAGGAGCATCTCTTGGTTAATCATGACCCCATTCCCAGGGTCATGCTAGTTGTTCCAGACACCTGGAAAGCCTTGGATTCTCCAAGCCCCCCTCTTTCGGGGCTTTCCTCCATCCGGATATCCCAGCTTTTCCCCTTTTCCATGGCAGAGAGGTGCCTCTGTCCCAGGTCCAATTCCCTTTTTATGGGCAGCAAAGTTCTGCTTTAGTTCTCCTGGTCCCCACCTTGGCAYGGCAGAGAGCAGGCAGAGAAGCCAAGTCTTTCTGAGCTGAAGTCAGCATCAGCTTCCCAGGTTTCCTCAGGAGGGTCATTGGGAAGCACCGGGGAGGGTCCTGCTCTCCTGGCCTCACACTGCACCATGAGCAGCACGTGCTGGAGGAGCKGCAGGGTTGAAGAGCCTGGTTTGGAAGAGACCAGCACACGGCTCTAGCAAAACCAACCCGTGTGCGAAGTCAAGTTGTGCTTCCCGGATTGGAAATCTGGAATGTAAATACCTGGCAGGGCAGCCACCCAGCACAAAATGCACTAGAGGAGCTGGAGACCAGGCCGACACGAGCGCCTTGAGCTTGCAGACCATCATGTGCAAGGCAAAAATTATTTATTTTTAAATCCCCCCAAAATAGATTAGATTTTCTTCCCGTAATTTCTGCAAGGCTTATGGAACATTGCAGTACCTGTGCGTGGGTATTGCACAGTGCATCGTTGTGCACTGTGACGGCAGCCTGTAATGCACCTAGTTGCAATTGCCACCGGAAAAAGTACGATGGGATCATCTCTATATTGTTTCAGTTCAGTTTGGCTTTAAATCAGTGGCATTTACTTCTTATTTTTTGTATGAGAATCCTTAAAAATGCTTTTTAAAATAGAAAAGTCCCCGCTAAGTTTGGTTTCTTACCTCRGAATTGAAAACTGCGCTAAACAGGATATATATGAATGCATGCTTATTACAGCTAAGTCCTGTTTTCTGAGTAGTGCCTAGAGATTGTAATTAATTTCAGATAAACCCTATTTTTGTCCACATATGCAGATTTCAAATCTGTGCGCCTGTGGATTTTGACACGGTGCGATGATGGATCAGAGCTTTCAGATGTCTGGCTCTTGGAGCTGTGAAATGCTAAAACAAACAAAAACAACAGTTTCGGGGGTGTCAATCTAACTTCTCAGCAGACAGGTGCCTCGCATTAGAGAAGTGTCATCCCCTGCAATTCCTCTTGGCCGTGTCTTGGGGGAAAAGCTTGGGATGTTCCAAGGTAAACCAAGGTAAAACTAGCTTCATGTCTTAAATCATATCTTAAGTCTGGTTTGTGGCTTGTGGGTAAAATTGCACCGTGCAACTTGTGTTGCCTGTCCCTGCCTGTCCCTGCTCGGTGCATGAGTAAGTGGTTCCTGTCTCCCGGATAATCGATCCGATCTGCTCCTGGAGCACGTCGCCTTGGACAGAGCTGGGTTAACAGGTAAAGGGGAGGGCCAGGCTGGCGCGCTGCAGCTGCTGCAATGAGCTGGCTTCATTGCTGCAGGTTTGGGACTATGTAATTAACAAATTAAATGGTACTGTTCATTACAGGTGTAAATATTTTATGCAATGGGAAGGGCAGCCGGGAKCACCAGGAACACCAGGACACCCTGGGGACAACGTCCTGTGGCCTTGGTGGGGTTAAGCTCCGAGCTGGGCTGCAGAAACAGAATCCCAATGAAAGTCCTGCCATGTGATTTGCAAACGTGCAACCCCCTGGAATTCATTCTGCACAATCCTGGCTCAGACGGAGGAGGAAGACAGYGAATTTTTTGGGTACAAATCGGATTTTCTTTGTAGCTACTGATTTGTTTTTAGTGTCACACATGGTATCATGAGAAGTTGCATCGTTCGGGCCTTTTTAATGAATTTGTGTTGCTCGCATATTAGTAGGAATATTTTCACTGCAGCAAACACCATAAACAGTTTCCACGCTGGGGTATGTTATAGTGCCACCAGAATTGGTTCTTCTGCTGGTTCATTTCTTTTATGCTGAGAATTCAGGGCCGATTCAGCTTGGTTTTATGCATCATTAGAGATTTACAATTACTTTGCTATAGTTTCTTTCTGGAAGCCTATCTCTCATGGCTAATGCTGCGGGAGCCCTGTTGTGCAGGGGCTGGTATTAGCCACCTCCGAGCAGCAAAGTGGTTGAGAAGGATTTAGAATTATGACTGGCTAAATTCTCCGTGCAAGGTCTGTAATACTGTTATCCTTTGCTCAGCTCGGGCTGCAATACATTTTTTTTTCTTCAGTTTAAATTAGAGGAAAAAATAAAAATAAAAGCTGTATCCTCAAGAGGTTTTCATCTTTTGCTTGTCATTTTTTGTTGTTGTTGCTGAGCTGCTGCAGTCAGAGATGGGAAATGGTAGGAAATTCCATTTGGATTTTGTGATGTTTAAATACATTGATATAGCATTAGTATATCAYGAAAAAGGAGACTCCCCTTTTTTATCTCATGTTTTAAAAGTGCAAGTCTTACTTGGGACGGCTTCTTTTGGTTTGTAGATTTTACATATGTTGCTAAACTCAGGTAATTTCACCAAGTTTGTCTTGCAAAGACGTGGATCCCTATAGTTTATAATAAATGTAATTCATGTGTTAGAGAAATGCAGTACTGCACTGAAACAAACATGATATGCAGAGACTAATGTGGACCCAATCTAAAGCCCGTTAAAATCAATAAAAAGATTGCAAATGAACTTATATAGCCTTTAGATCGCGCTCTAAATGGGCAAATTACAGTTGTGGAGTCTCCCATTTACATACCTGTGTGGTACATTTAATATATTTTATAGAATTGAAATTACTTGGTGCTCTTTTTCATGCTTTTTTAGGATAAGAATTTGCCAAGGGCATCAACAGCAGTTTTCCCAGGCTTCAGAACGCGGATTATGTAGTCAATCCACAGATGACTTAAAACTTTGAAAAAAAMCGGCCATGGTTATCAGAGGAGCTTTGACAACAGCAAGGACAGCAGCGCTATCTGCCACATCCCATCAGAGATTCCCGTTCAGCCTAATTAACATCGCGAGGACATCAGTGCGGGCCATCAGTCCCGGAGGAGCTGCGCAAAACTTTTAAGGGGAATATGCACGAGATCTCGCCCCTGTATTAGTTTAAATAGATCAAATCATGAGGAAAAGAAGAAAAAAAAAAAAAAAAGGTGATTTGTCTTGTATAAGGTTAGAAGAAAGACTGTTGCATGGTAGCATTAGGGAAGAGCCTCAAAGGTTGCAAAGAATTGTCAAATCCGTTGTTGTAACCTGGTAATCTTTCTTCTTTTACAGGGTTTCGTGAATCCCACTGAGAATGAGCAGRGCTGATCTCTAAGCCTGTGATTTCTGCTGCCTCTGTAAGTGTGAGAGAGAGAGATGCCTCTACCTGCTCCGAGTGGCCTATAATTAAAAACCCTTTTTGGAGTAACACTAAAAATAAGCCATCACAATATCTGATTAAGCCTCTTAGGAACCTGTCACTAATCACCTTCCCTGGCCCTGACGGAATGTATTTATGCATTATAAATATACTTATTATATGCATCCTCCCTAAATCATATTTAGCTCTTGTGTATAACGTATAAGCATATTCTATAGAATATGCACAAATACAGATGACAGACTCCCACAGAGTTCATCGCTGGAAAGGTTTGAAGGATTCGATCCTTAATATTTAATGAGAAAGATGCTATTTCCTTCCTCGGCTTTTATCTTTGGTTTGGCATAGTCATTAAATTCGTTGTTTTCCTTGCAAGATTATATAATTTATGACCTAATTTTAGACTTTTGAGTAACAGTGCAAAAATGCTCCTGGAATATCTCCATTTCTTGGTAGGGAGTGTCTCTGGATTAAATAGCACATAGAACCTGACCGTTTAACTATGAACTATCCATCAGGAAGTAGTTACAAGCAAGGAAAACTGTGCCTCAAAATTCAGATAGGATTATGCGATTATATTGTGGGTATTTTTCCCTGTAAAAATATGATTTTCCAGCTTTTCCAAAGCCCRCCTTATGCGCTGGTTGGCAGGAATCCCCAAGTAATGCAGCAATCACCCAGGAACCGCTATCACTTAAAATATTTTCATGTAGCAGCCTTGACTTTCAGGCTGCTGCGGGACAAATTCATGCAGCCCTAAGTGCAGGGCTGGTTATGTGGAGCCAGGGAAGCAGGTGAGGAATGACAATTAATGCTTTACAGTGACTATCAGCCTCCTCATCCTCTGCAGATGCAGTTTCTAAGGGTCTCGAATGCTTCCAGGGTGAGAGCCAGGGGCTGTTTGGGTGCCCRCGGCTTCCGCAGCGCTGATGGGGAAGGTCCCGCAGACCCGGCGCTCTTGGCATAATTACAAACAAGAAACTCCCGGGTCTCGCCCTGGCTTTGGGTTTGCTCAAAGCTTTGGGCTAAAGCCCAGGGAAGTGTTTGCTCTGCAGGGCCCGTCTGGCTGCAGGGCTGTGTTGCTGTGCGAGGCAGTGCCAGGTGACTCCCCCGGAGCAGCGGGCACGCTTTTGGGTGGCTCCCTGTGTGCCCAGGCTAATTCAGCTGTAAATTCATTGTAAACAGTGCTGTGAGTTCATTTTGTAGGTGTAAAACATATTGTTTAGACTATCAAATTTAATATATAGTCTATTGCATTAGCATATTCTAGAAGCACTTTATTTTGGTGTTTCGGAGGGAAGTGGCTGGGAGCCGAGTGCTGGGTTGTTCTGTGCCCTGGGGCAGCGTTCGGAGGCTTTGCACAGGGCAYCTCCTTTCCTACCTTGATGACAGCACTGGGTTGTGGTGCAGGTAGAGCAGGGACTGCTGGCGTGAGGCTCAGCATAACCTCGCACGCGGTGCGGGATGAGGTAGGTGGATAAAAGAAAAATAATCCTTATGAAAAGGTGACGTTATTTCTGGAGTAAGAAAGATTGGAGCGCATATCTGTCTGGCTTTAATGGAGCGGTTCCAGGAAAGCAGCAGCGACTAAAGTGTTTTCAGTATCACATAATTCAAGACTAAAATCATAATTCCAATTACAATTTCTGCCATTTCTGGCCTTGGGAAACCTATGCTAATATTTATTATTATATGATTGACCTATGATTTCTTCATCATTTACATTAGCAACTATGATATTCATAGTAACATCCTTTAAATCACATAAGCACATGTCAACAGTGCATGATGAAGTCACATCCTGCAGATTTTTTATTTACTTAGTCCATTTTTTTCCTGATAAAATAACATTGCRCGATGCATAATCTCACCTCCGCAAGGCCTCTAGGGGCATATATAATCACAGAACGCATTTTCTATAAGCTTACAAAATGAGTCAATTCTATCTGAGGTACAAACAGTTATAGAAAGTCAGTATTTCACTTCCATCGCTGCCTGACATCATCTTCTACAAAGTGCAAGAAAATGTTTACTTAGCTCTTTGACATCGTCGCAAAACCTTTAGAACAAAGAATAAAGTGAGAAACTAATACCTCTTTTCTAGGTACAGATTTAGGTTTTTTTATTTGTTGGAAACCTTCTTATAACACGCGAACTCATAGAGGTACCTCTAATCTCTATTTTTCCTTCCACAGCTGCGCAGAAGAGGTTATTCCTGGCCCTGTCTTGCTTGAGACTGGCATTTTTGCAGCTTAGCACCAATGCAGCCTGACCACAGCAGCATTCCGTGGAGGGGACAGCTCTGTGGAGGACAGACGCTCCTTGACTGTCCAGGTGAGGTGCCACARTGAGTTGAGGCTGGTCATTAACTTCAGCTGTAGCTGATCCAATCGGATTTATCTTTGAAGGGATGGTAGAGATTTTTTCGCAGTTCAGGGTGTTCTGGGGACTTGTCAGAGGGTTTTAGTTCTCCAGGTGTCTCCCATACTGATCTCGTGAGGTTCCTCCTCGTGTTCATCACCAGCACAGCCCCTATCTTCCAACATCTCTGTTGGAAATCTGCCTCCTCCACAGTGTTCAGGGAGTGGGACCCCTCAGTGCTGTCTGCAGAGCGGGGCTTTTCAATGCCTTTGTCTTCCACCCATTGCTTTGCTGTAAAGTTCAATTCCATTGTGCTTATATTATCCTAAATAATTTGTCYAACTTGAAGGGCCCAGTTTTAGGGGATATTAGGTAATTTTTGGAACAGAAGAGGACAATTTCCTGAAGTTACATGGCCTAACAAAACCTGGGAGGCAGATAGACTCGTCCCTATTATCTGGGCATGGAGCCCTGAACTCGCTCTCATTTCTAGATGGAARGAAAGGTGTAAAGGTCAGAGTACTCCTATATCATCTTTCTGAAGATTGGTGTTGTGTAATAATTATTAACAGCTTCTGTAATGATGCACATTACAAACACAGAATCAAATACCTGCAGTGAACCTCCTCGGGCAAAATCCTCATTGACTCAATAATCGCTTTTCCTGAGAAGTGACTGCAGGAAGGCACTCCGAGCATTAAACATATTCCTGACTTAAGAGGCACTTATGATCTACCGGTAAGAGATTGTTAGCAATGTAAAAATGAACCTTAAACAGGAAAAATATTCTTTTTGCAAATTAATTCTGCTGACAGAAGAATTTGGACTAACTTCTTATGACTCTAGATGTTACTTATTACCCTTRTTATTACCAGAACAGCAGATGCCACCTACTTGGGATTTTGTAAATAGTTGTTCCCAAAGTGATTTTGTTTTCTATAAAATCTTTGGTGAAAAGCTGGCTTCTAATYCTTTCTCTTCCAAAGCTTTTGCAGCTCATTTTTTTCCCCCTCTCTTGATATCTTTTTTAATTTTTCCACTTTGGGTTTTAATCTTTCATAGAGAGATTTTATAGAAGTCTGCCTTAAGGGTAAATCTTGAACTTTTACTCTTATTTGAAAAGTCATTCCTTAAAGCTTTAATAAACTGAAAAGAGAGAGAAAAAAAMCCCAGAACTTTATTTCTAGCTGCCGTGCATCCTGGAATCACGGCATGGAAATGAGTGTCAGCGCGCACAGCAAGTTAACCGGACTCTGTCAGCCTGTCAGCATCTGTAAAAGCTTCTGCCTGGACGTATACCCAGGAGGAAGAGGAGAAGGAGATGGGAGACTGAGTGCTGACCAGTATCCAGAGCTGGAGGCTTTGCCATCAATCCTGCTTTTCTCCCTGGTGGYTGGTACAGGGGGTTGGGGGCATCAGCCCTTCCCCTGTTGCAGCTTCTCTGCATTAAGTCTGAGGTGCAAGTGGTCCTGGCCAGACCCCAGCCCCACCAGGGAGCTCTGCTGCCCTGCGGAGCCACAAAGAGTCTAGTTTTCTACCAAATAGAATTTTTGTTTGTTTTATTTAGTTTTTGTAACCACAGCAACAAACACTAACCCGCAAACAGGACAGAGAGCTCTCCTGGTGGGTGCCTCATTAAGGCAATGTCAGAGGCTTGAATAAAATCCCCATTCATTTGCACAAAAACAAGCGAGATTGCCAAATGTGGAGAAACTGAAATTTCGTAAAATAATATGACATAATGATGCCCTGACTTGCTGCATTATCCTGGAAAGTTGGCCACAACAGTTTTTACTTGTCTTTACCTGCATTGCAGATCAGGAGCAATGCAGATGCCTGCCCGTGAGCGGCAGGTTATGGTGCTGGGAGGCAGCAGGGCCAGCACGCTGCTCTCYGGAGCCGCAGTGACGTGTGTGCTACGGGCAGGCAGGTATAAATGTAGAGTTACAGGTGGCAGGCAGCCTGGCTTGTATTTCCAATGGCATTCCCGAAGCTAGGAGGCTAAGAAGCAGATCCTGTGCATCAGCGAGAGACCTCCCRAGTTCCACAAGCTTTAGATCAGATCCCGAATGAATGCTCCTTCCTGGGGCCGCTTGTTGAATGGGACTCCAGACGGCAGCATCCCCGCAGCGAGCACGGTCCTGCTGCTGCGGGAGGCTGTGCTCGTGGCACAGCGTGGTCCCCCATTGCTGTCCCGCATGAGAGAGCAGAAATCACACCTTTTCAGCCCATCTCTGATGCCATTTCATGTGTCTTCATAGAAGGACTCGATGGTAAGAGGCTCCCACCAGCTCTGTCCTTTCCTTGGTCTTCCTG